GATGACACCAAGATGTGGGGAGAGGTAGGCACGCTTGAAGGGAGAGAGAGGCTGCAATTAGATTTAGACAGACTACAGAAGTGGGTGGATAGTAATAGGATAGACTTCAGTGTGGATAAGTGCAGGGTGCTGCACCTGGGGAGAAGGAATCCACAGCATACATACAAGCTGGGGAGCTCCCCCCTTGACGGCATAGAGGCGGAAAGGGATCTTGGAGTCATTATTGATCCCAAGATGAACATGAGCCGCCAATGCCAGACCACAGCCGGCAAAGCCAATTGCACCTTGTCGTGCATCCAAAGATGCATCTCAAGCTGGTCCAGAGAGGTGATACTCCCCCTCTACACGACATTGGTCTGGCCTCAATTGAAGTACTGCATCCAGTTCTGGGCACCGCACTTTAAGAAGGGTGTGGCCTGCCTTGAGAAGGTTCCGAGGAGGGCCACCAGCTTGGTTGGAGGGCAACAGGGCAGGCCCTATGAGGAGACGCTGAGGGACCTGAATCTGTTCAGCCTCAGCAAACGGAGGCTGAGGGGAGATTTGATGGCTGCCTACAAACTCATTAGGGGAGATCAGCAGAAAATAGGAAGGATCTTATTCCCCCCAGCAGCACCTGGGGTGATGAGGAACAATGGCCAGAAGCTGCTGGAGAACAGGTTCAGGTTAGAGATTAGGAGGCACTATTTCACTGTTAGGGTGGCTAGGATCTGGAACCAACTTCCTAGGAAAGTGGTCCTCACTCCTACCTTGGGTAAATTCAAAAAGAGGTTGGATGAACACCTGTCTGGGGTCGTGTGATCCCAGCATGTGCTCTGGCCAGTGGCGGGGGGTCAGACTAGATGATCTATTTAGGTCCCTTCTGACCCTAACTACTATAAAACTATGATTAATCTTTTAGAAATACACTGTATGGTAGCAGGGTATTTAGCTCAGCAGTCTCTAAAGCTTGAACATACCCTTGTTTCAGTGACAAAGGGACCCTCATTTACATAACTGTCACAAGCAGGAGAGAACAGCAGAGTCTGGCTCAGAAAGAGCGCTCTGAACAATAGGGAAATGAAGTTCTTCATTGCTCAAGCACATTATAATAAAGTATACCAACAAGGGATATTTCAAGTAGAAATGAAGGGAAGCTGATATGAAACTGGAGACAGGAGCCATTTGGATCGATTTGGATACATACGTTGCTTTGAATCTTGTAAAAATGGATACAGATGCATGTGCATATGCAGACTTTTTTTTTTTTTTTTTTTTTTTTTAAACACACATCACAGGTCAGAATCAGTTTGTTGATTTCAGAATTGAACAAAACACAATAAGATTAATAATGCTGGCCTGGTCTCTTTCCAGCTAACTTTTTGCCTTTAGTCCACGTCCTAACTACCACCTTCCCCTAAGAATTACAACACTACATAATTACTGCACAAAGGACTAGTGAAATGTCTCATTTGGAAGAAAGATATTCTTTCAGAAGAAGAAAATTACACACACACACACACACACACACACAGAGGCATGCATGCATGCTGATGCGCTTGAAGCAATAAAATAAATGGAAATTTACTACTAATTGTATTTGAAAATTATTTCAAGGACTTGAACACATGATTTAACAACCTGTATTACAATAGTGTTATGCTGCAAAAAAGGAGAAAAGTAATGTATGTAAAAGCAAGCTTTTAGAAAAACTAGGATCAACAGAAACACTTCAGTTTCTGTATAATTTGTCTGAATCCCATAGGAAACAGTTAAAAAAAAAGTCCCACAAACACTCCTTTGCAATGTCTGTAATCCAAATGCTATAGACTGGAAACCATTCATAGATTCACATATATTACTTAAGAGCACAGGTGTAAGTGACAGATGAATTATTTTTCAGAGCAATAATAGTGTGTTCTAACAGTGACTGAAAACATAAAAGGAACTGCAGATTCAAACAGAAAAAACAACGTACATAAAATAGAAAATGTTTGGAGTTTTAACTTCTTATTAGAAGTTATCTGGAATACAGGTAAAAGTCTTTTTTAACATTCTAGCATTTCTTTAAGTTAATTTAAACTATTAACATATAGTAAGAAAAATATTTTAAAACATCAAAATAAAAATAAAGAGCAAGATAAGCCTAAAGTTCTACCATTTACTTCAGGTTAATATCAATGACATCAGAGCTGAAGCAATTTCAAAGAGTAATTTAGTTTCTCAAAATGTAGTTGACCTTTAGAACAAACATTTGCCTTATATTTTCATGATGAAATTTACCATGCCATGCAACAGCCAGTTACTTAAATAGCTTCCAAGGAATTAGATGAAATATTTTCATTAAGTCCAATGTCCTTTGCAATATGCTGCATTAAAACAGTAATACTCCATGATAAAAGGAGGTCAGACCAGTTCTACTGCTGGGTCATTCATTATTTGGGTTCTAAATTTTGGAAGCAGCATAATAGTTCTGGTGATTATACTTCATTCTTCATAATTTTTATTCTTTTTCACACTTCTGTTACAAGTGCCTTGCTTTTTACAGGTATTTATACAAACTGGCCAGAAGGCCACAATACCTGGAGATTTCATCAGAAGGGGGAAAAAACAAAAAACAAAAACAAACCCCCAAAAACCTCTCCTTCAATTTTTCAATACTTTTTTCTCCTTTGCCCTCCACCTGCCCCTATCACAGCAGAAGGTTGATAAATGGTCTAAAGTTTTATATTTGAATTGGTTGTTAATCTTGTGTTCTCCTCCCTCACCCCCACCCCCTTCTCTTCTACCTTCCTTCCTGAGATGGTGCCCTGCAGGCAGGAACCTGTAACCTGAACAAACCGCACAGCCATACTACAGATGAGAATGGAAGCAATCTGTTCTGCAGGATTCTGATTAAGCCTCACTGCAAGTTGCCAATGTAATCCCTGTAGTGGGACAAATATGTGAGTATCCCTACAAACACAAAAAAGGACAAGACCATGCAAACACAAGCACATGCTTGATCTTCCTCATATCAGTATCCAATTGACTTTAATAGGGCTGCCCATGGAAACAGAGTTAAGAATGTGTGTAAGCATTTGATGGATTTTCCTGGTGTTTGGAAGGAAGCAAAAAGGTGAGGAAAACCCACTCCCCATTAAAACACTCCTGGGTCTAATCCTTCAAACTCTCCATAAGCAAACAACTACATTTAAATTAATAGGACTGTTTGTCAGAGTAGAGGTACAAGTCTCTGAATTAGGCTGGTAAATTTCCAGACACGTGCACCTTTATTCTGCCTGACTTCAGACTAATACAGCTAATACCTCTCTATGTGCACCTTTACCAAATTAATAAAAATTCAAAAGTTTTGCAGCCTAGTCTATAAAGACTCCATAAGGCTATTTTTTTACATAACTTTGGAAGACAAAAATCAATGACATCTCAGTCCAAACACAAAATATTCACTGCAAAGGTATCAGGAGGACAAGTCACCTACCGTTTCCCAGCACAGTTGTTCTGGTTCAATCCCCCAATTTGGTTCATTGCAGACCATGCTGTAAGGCCAACATATGGCAAGGCAGCAGCTTCTGTGTGACTGAGACTCTTGGGTTTGAAAGACACCTAAAGCAGAGGATAAGTTGCATCTAAACCACAAAGAATTATATACATTTGCAAGCTACAAAGAGGCAGCAGATGCATTTTACTGAGCATCAGCTGCCGAGATAACTAGGTTTTAAAAAGCTAAATGCGTGAGAAAAAAAACTAAAAATTGCAAAATAGCTATTTATGTGAGCTTTGCAAGAACCAACAGCATCTATTATTTTGCCAATAATTCCAAACTTTTGTATGGTTACCTCATTTCCACTAGCTACAACAAACTCTGATAAAGTGCCTTGTTTCCATGGAGGAATTGCTGCCCATACCTAAAAACAAAGGGAAAAAACATTTCAATTTCTTCTGTTTTCTTTATATTGCGTCTACAGCCAAGTCTCCCTCATGGCAAAATCTTTCTCCAATCTCCTGAACAACTTCATTCTAGATTAAATATACAGTCATTAACCAAAATGCCAGTTTTTCTACATTCATCTCGACTAAAATGTTTCACTTGCTTTCTTAAAAATATATATATTACAGAAAAACATAGGACAGATGGCCAATAAAAATAAGACATACTGTACTATGTACAATATACTCTTTTGAAGAAAGCAGATTACATTCAGTAGCCTTAAGCTGGTACAAGTACTTGAAAACACAACATATGTTCCAATAAAAAAGGAAAGTTAGAACAAATCATACCAAAATTTTTATGGGGCTCAAAATTTTGTTGGTTATTACCTAATAACTGTAAAATCTCTGGGGTAGGTAAAGATACTCAAGAGAAATTTCCTGTGAAAATACTAGTATCAAACAAGATGTAGCAACTTTTAGGCATTTTTTTTAAATATAGGTAGCTCTGATGGATTTTAAAATTTGCAAGCTGAAATGGACCCTAATAAAAAAGAAATGAAGTAATTAGTACTAGCGAATAGAGAAAATTTGAACATTTTTCAAAGAACTAGGAGGGAGTTGGAAGTAAATTACTGCCCCACGGTTCTCATGTAGGTTATAGACAGACAAGAAAAAAATATTTGCAGAGAAAAGAACTACTAATGGAGATGCTGTCACATTCTGTTACACACAAAGACAGGAAAAATGGGACTGGTTATTCACCTCATCACCAGGTTTGAAATAGGACACACTGAGTCCACATTCCATAACTACACCAGAGACATCTCGACCAAGTGTTAGTGGGAACTCATCTCCCGTGGTTTTGATTTTCAGAGGATCCCGTCTTATATTTAAAGCAGTTGCTCCATAACCACCTATGAAATACAGATTTAACAAAGTTATAATCTGTTCAGATATTAAATGAACTGAACAAATCAGATTAGAAAGCAAGTTGTTTAATCTTTACATAATGCAAAACCAAAAAAAAATAATGTTAAACAGTTCTAAAAATGTTCTCATGTCTGTAGTAGCAGAAACAAGCAAAACGATCTGAATATATATTTTTGAAAAGTTCACATAAATTAGTATCAAACTTAACTTTTGAATATTTCTTTTGTCCTCTGTCTGGTGCACAGTGGGTGCATCTACATGTACTTTATTATGGAGCTGACTAATTAGCTCCACATTAGAAGCATCACCGTCTACACATGCACCCGTATTAGGGCACAGTAAATTAATTAACTCTGCTGTATGTTAGTAATGTCTGGAACAAGCACTATTATACAGTGGAGTAATTTACACCACCACAATGCACATGTAGAAGGTGAGCAGGGCTGGCTGAGGCACAAGGGTGCTATGGCGGAGGGATTGCCAGCTGGCTAGCCCCACACTGTAGCACTTTCATGCCCCAACCAGCCCCTCCACCACCTGGAGCCTGGAACTGATCCCTCCGGGCCTCATGCTAGTTTGGGGCTGCTCTGCCATAGCTCAATGTGAACCTAGGAAATATAAACTCCAGCATGAACTGTGCCATTGTTTATTTCTTCACCCTAATTGCATGTGTAGATGCACCTGGTATGTATAAAACCAGAAAGGTTCATAAAACTTAGCAACTTACAATATGGTTATAGACACTACATTAACAGATCTTCTTGCTCCATGACAATAACAATGAACAATTTGACATGAGACAAAATAACACTTAATTTTCACCACATTTTTCTATTAATATTCTGTAGCTAAAAATTCAGGAGATCCGTACTCTACTTTCCTCCGGTCTGTGGGGAGGGAATATTACATGGTCATGCACTGGTTAATGCATGAGATTGTGCAAATCACTCATGACCTTAACCTGAGAATGACACAGGACTTTCAAATCTGTGAAGGACAGAAATCAGTTTCTAGTACGTTACCTTTACTAAAAAGGAGCTACGGTTGCTCATTGCTTATTAAATGGAGATGTAAATGAGCTGCCACTTTTGCAATCACACGCTAAGCATAAAACCATAATCCTGCGCTGTGGACTAACCATTTTGTATTGGTCCAACAATTACTCAGAAGCATTCCTCCTGAAACATTTAGGAGTCTATGTGAAAACGTTAAAAATTATCAGTCACAGAAAGAGAAGGAATCACCATCTTTCTAATGCAGTAGTATAAAGAAGCTTAAAGGAACAAGCCTAAATGTAAAACATTATAGCATGGCTCTTACTGATAATCCTTGATTTTCTCAAGATGACAGGATATCCTTCTACAGTTAAACACCTGTTGATATACAGCTCAATCTCACAGCTGTTGATGCCACAGATAAGGAAGTCAGTGAAGCTACTCAGACTGTAGCTGCTGCAAAACTGGGCACCATCACAATTTATTTGCAGTGGTTCTGAATAGCTTTAGCCTCCCACCCCCTTCCCCCACAACTATAAGCCTAGAACTTAGTCTACCAATGAGCTTCATGTAGAAAGACCCCTAATCCACCCAGAGTCCTCCTAAATTCTGCATACTTGAGGCTGTGCCAACATGAAGCTCCTGTGAGTCCTAACAAGTGATAACACACAAATAATTGTTTTATAATGTTTTATTTGGTTGTTGTTTAAATACAGAGAAAGCTCCTCCAATTCCCCTCTCCAGATACCATGGTCAACATCTGAAATGCACAATCGTTTTTCCCTGTGAATAACCTGGGATTTGGAAGTTTTGTATTTGTTTATTTATTGGCATTTCTGAACCCGTTATTGAAGCCAACAATAGCTCAACTGTTAAATATGCCAAAGGCTGCAAATGAGAGAGGAACAGAGGTTATGTTATACCCAGGGTTAAAACCCTGGTTATACCCAGTTCACTCTTCCTTTCAGCCTCCACTCTGTGCCCCTGTGTGACACAGGCCTATTTGTTCCCTTGCAGGATTGCGGGCCTTGGCCAGGAGCGGGCAAAATCTAGCCCTCTAGGTAATTTCATCTGGCCCAGGGGCACCCACCTATTAATTGCAACCCACCCAGCCCATGCATCTCACCCCCACTCTGGTGTGTGGAAGGGCCTGGCCCACCCAGCAGACAGCTTCTGGGTGAGGCTGCAGCAGCCACAGGGAGATCTGTTCAGCTTCCCTGGCCTCCAGCAGCTTCTACTTTTCTCCCTGCTGCAGTACTCACTCCTGGAAGCAGCAGGTGTAGAAGGAGGAGCTGCAGCTGGGCGAGGGTGGGGAGCATGGTGCTGGTGGGAGCCCACACCCGGGCGGTGGCGGGAGCGCAGAGCTCGGGTGGGCAGGGTCTGTGTGTGGTGGGGGGATCCCCCACATACTTCCCCCCCATGGCGCGCAGCCCCTGCCAGTGGCAGCAGCAGCAGACTGGGGCCCTGAGGATGCTCATGGCGCTGCCACCTGGCGGCGTGTGGCTCCAGCCAGCGCTGCATATGGCAGCAATGAGTGCAGCCAAGCCGGCCCACCTCTATTGTACAGGGCTCTGTGTTGCGTGCCTGAAGCTCCCAGCACCTGTGCACCACTGGGGGAAGTCCTGCATGATGGAGCTGGCTGCCTTCACTGCGCCCTGCTGCCACAGAAGCAGGATGTGGGGCTCCCCATCCATTTCCGGTGGAGTCCTGGCAGCTGCACATGGGGAAGGGAGCTGGCTCTCTCGCACGGGACTTCCCCCGGTGGCGCATGGATGCCAGGAGCTGCACATGTGCTGTGAAGAGCTCCGCGTGATAGAGGTGGGCTGGGTAGGTTGCACTACTTGCCACCATGAGCTGTGCTAGCCAGAGCTGTGCGCCGCTGGGCGGCAGTGCCACAAGCACCCCCACCTGCTGCTGCTGCTGCAGTCAGCAGGGGCTGTGCGCCATGGGGGATACAGGGGACAGGAAGTGTGTGGAGGTCCCCATACCTCCCCATCCTTACACTCCACAAACCCACACACTGCCCCCACAATCCCAACATACACAGCCATACCCCCCAGAAACCACACACACACCATACACATACCTCTACCCCAACCACACCCCACACACTCACCCATGCACAAAATACAAGAGTAAGACTTTATTTTTTTTTACCTATTATGCAGTCACCTCTATATACATACTACACAAATCATGACAAAAATATTTTTTTGTAATAAAAACAAATCATACAAAGTCAAATACCTACTATAACATTTTTTTTCTGTTTGAAATAGCATCTGCACCTGCCAAAAGGAGTACTTCCAGGGGTAAGGGGAGGGGCGTCTAGTTCTAGTGGCAAAGATCAAGGGTTAAGGGTGGGACTTCCAGTCCCAAGATGGTGACCAGGGGGCAGGGCACCTGTAAAAGGATAGGGCTACCCTTGCTGAAACTCATTAAGTGGCCCTCGAGCTGAAATAATTGCCCATCCCTGGCCTAGGCCCACCAGGTAAACTATTAGCCTCCCTTAGACAGTCCTTTAGACAGGGAGGCTACTGACAAAGCAACAACTGAGTACTTGAGACAAACGATAACAAAACAGGGACTGAAGCAATGGCCAAAGGTTAATAACTAGTGTGTCAAGGGGGAAACTGAGCAGACCACACCAGGCAACAGCACCCACTCCTCAAATGAGTACAAGGAGCAAGTGAACACTGTCCAGTGATACTCTGCCCGGAGGCAGGAACCAAGTAGAGCAAGGAAAGTGGCCCCGCAGTCCCCGGGGACTCTACTGGCCAGAGCCCAGGAGTACATAGCCAGCTTAGCCAGGCCCAGGAGGAGGTTGACCAGGAGGTCCCAGGTCTTGGTGGGGCCACAGCCAGGGAGTGCTGTGTGACAGGCCTATTTGTCACCCTTTTAAATCATGAGGGCCCAGCCCACTAAGTTTCTCGTTAGCCTCCTTAATGCACAGAGGCTACAGAAAAAGGGGACAACAGATTTTTTGGGACAAATAATAAAAAGGAAAACAACACGGGGATAGGAAGCTGATCAGAGGTTCAAAATAAGTGTGTCAAGAGGGGACACTGAGCAGAGCACACCAGATAGCGCCCACTGGCCCTCAAACGAGTCCAAGGAGCCAGCAGACACAGCCCAGTGATGTTCTGCTTGGAGACAGGAGTGAAGTAGGGTGAGGAAAGCAGCCCCAGGGTCCCCAGGGACCCTCCCAACCAAAGCCTCCTTCCTAGTCAGGTACATGACTTAACAACTACAAGCAGACCTGGACAGGTTGGACATATGGGCAGAAAACAACAGAATGCAGTTCAACAAGGAGAAATACAAAGTGCTGCACCTAGGGAGGAAAAATGTCCAGCATACCTACTGCCTAGGGAATGACCTGCTTGGTGGCACGGAAGCGGAAAGGGATCTTGGAGTCCTAGTGGACTCCAAGATGAACATGAGTTGGCAGTGTGACAAAGCCATCAGAAAACCTAATGGCACTTTATCATGCATCAGCAGATGCATGACGAATAGATCCAAGGAGGTGATACTTCCCCTCTATCGGGCGCTGGTCAGACCACAGTTGGAGTACTGCGTGCAGTTTTGGGTGCCACACTTCAAGAGGGATGTGGATAACCTGGAGAGGGTCCAGAGAAGGGCCACTCGTATGGTCAAGGGCTTGCAGGCCAAGCCCTATGAGGAGAGACTGGGGCACCTGGACCTCTTTACCCTCTGCAAGAGAAGGTTGAGAGGCGACCTTGTGGCTG